TAAATCCCAATTCCCACCCATCGCCTCAAGGATTGAAGCTCGGATCTGTTCTCATTTTTCACTGTCAAACCGGCTACACGCTTTGTGTGGAATTCCTTAACCTCCATGGCTACGTGCTTCATGTGAGGGAGGACCCACCTGCTCTGTTACGGTTTTGCATCAATCTTGTAAGTGTCCCGGTTATAGCTTCATCTAGAGTCTTGAGTTATGTTTCTATGAGTTTGATGGCCTTTGATCCATTGCTCCTAAACCTTCTCATGCTGGCGAGAAACCCAATTTGTGTCTCCTCCGTGGAACACTCTTTCAAAAGCTCGGATGCATTTGTTGCAAGAGCCGTCTATGACCATTTTTTGGTCGAGGATTTCGCGAAGCACGTCTTCAAGGTCGAATCCGCTATGGTCCCAAATGATTTTTCAAAGATTGTAAGCTTCTCAAAGTTGATCATCCTTTTGGAAAACTCATGGAACCTTTATCTTTATTTTCATTGTATTTTCTTTGATTCAAGCTGTTTGAACTTCCCTCTTTTGAGGTTTTAGATGAATGAAAGTTTTTGTTTGACCAAAAAAAAAAAAAACTTCTAGCTTGTATCAACTAGTATGCATGAATGAAAAAAAAAAAAAAAAAAAAACTAGTATGCATGTGTTTGTATTATTTACACTTGTTAAGTATGCTCCTATACTTCACCGGTTATTTGGCTTTTACTATTTGTCACCTAAAAAAGAGTAGACATTTCTCCCAGAAGACTTCATAATAGAGAACAGACCGCAACTTACAAATGGACTGCCCACAAGGCCATCATAATGGAGCAAAATGTCTCCAACTTACACAAGTGGATCATTTTGTACGTTCAGACTTTTCAAATAATATTTCTACGGCATTGATTTCTCGTAGAATTCTTAATTTAGGAATTTTACGCGAAAGGGATGTTTTTTTTTCTTTTTGCGAATGGGTCGTTTTTGTTGTTTTTGTTCAATAAATATATACATACACATATATATTAACAGTGGTGGACCCGGATATAAACTTTAGGAGGGTCAAAAAAATAATAAAAATGACTAATATTGTCATATTAGGGCTAAGATACTCCGGTTTTTCAAGTATCTTATATAAGATTTTTCTTTACAAAAACCCTCTAATATACCTCCAATAATGTTGGTTTTAGTGACTCGAACTCTGGAAAGGGGTGTCAATTCCAAGGGACTTACCATTTGTGCTGTTGGAATTTCATACATTTCTATGCAAAAAAAAATATTTGACCGATTTTACCTGGGTCACTTGACCCCCCTTTTCCTTCACTAGGTCCGCCAATAATATCTTTTATCTTATAAAGCACAAGTCACCTATCCAATAATATTAAGCCACATCAGATTTTTTATTTTAATTAAATATTATAAATTTCTTTGCATATTCCTATTTCTGTTTTTTTTTCGAAATGAAAACGTGGGTAGTTTTAGAATTATTTTTGTAGGAGAAAAATAACTAAATCCTGAAAGCCCTAAATTTTCTCATCACGATTTCAATTTTTTAAAACCGTTTAGTCTCTCTCTCTCTATTAATATAAATGAGAGCCAATGACGATGGATTGTTGTAATTCTAGATTCTTTTGCTCGCCCTTCCTTTGCTCTTAGATTTTTTTCAATCATCTATATATATAAAGTTAGCTTTTTCTCTCTTCTCATGATGCCACCTAAGCATCCCTTTAAGCCACATTTTTGTTTAAATATTAAAATAAATTTAAAACATTCATTTAGTGCATATTTATGTTACTTATTTAATTAATAGAAAGTTTATATAAATAAAAATAAATTATGTAAAAAAAAATGAAATGTTAATATAAGAAAAACAATACTTTAATTTTTTTATTAGTGGTAATAATATAATTCAACTTTCATTTTAAATTGATCATAATTTAATATTTTAAATATGTTACTGAGTTTTAGAATGGAAGTAAAATTTAAATTTATGGTAGACTAAAACAACATTTATGTAATTGTATATATAAAATTATAAAGAGGAAAAAAATGAAAGTGAAATATTAGTTTATAACATGATCAAAAAGAAAAAAAATGATATTTCATAAATTGAATCAAGTGTTTTTAATCCAAATTTGAATATTGAAAGATAATAATTAAAGAGAAAATAATTAAAATATTTTTTTAAAATCAATTAAAAAAAAATTATCACAATATAAATAAAAAATCAACAAAACAAAATTATAAACCTCTGCTAGTATGTAATAATTTACACAAATTTCTTCTCGGTCAAAAAAGCATCCGATCATAATTTCTTTGTTTCAATTGCTCGGAGAAAAGGTGAGAGTACTATCAGAGTATGTTTATGTTCATATTGATTACTCAATATTCTTTAAAAAATTATTACACCTTTGGTGAATCGTGAGTCGTGTGACTAACAATTTTTTCTTCTCTGTGTACAGGTCAGCCATGCCATTATTTTAGGAAGGATAAGCAGACAAAACATGAGCCACGTGCTCTGGAAAATTTTCTACACGAAAATGTTAGAACTGTAGTCCTTAAACGAAAATTAAGGTTAGCAACAACTTTCTTATAAGTTTTTAAAGTTTATCGCATTTGTATATTAAAGATAGATGCACAACTTGGTAACCAATTTTTTTAAATTCCGGTTTACATGTGTAGGTGATGTTGTTGGATTGGAAAACCTTCCCTCGAAGTTATTTAAAATCTTGGGTAAGCTTTCTAAACCTTTCAAAGTTTCAAAAATTTACCTCATAAGATGCTCTAATTGGCTATCCTCTGATTTTTTTCTATGAAATATACGTTCAAGTTGTTGCATAGTGACCCAATGCCACCACTTGTGGACGATAACAGTTTCGGCAGTAGCTGGGCATATCATCGAAAGACCACATCCCAAAAGTTCCTCTAAATACAACAAGTATTGTAATCTTCTACTAATTGGTTTCCCCTGTTTCGGTAATATTTATTTTCTTTTGACTAAGTAAAAATACTTTATCATACATTAAATAATGACTAAATAATGTGATTATTATACGTTAGAGAAATAGAATCAAAAATAAACCTAAGGTTTAAACTTTTTTAGTCAAAATGTGTTACTGGTACAATTTTTGTTTTGATGTTAAATGCATTAATTTTAAACTTCATTATGATTATGATTTTTGTTTGTTTGTTACTGAACCAAATTATAATGAAAAAAACAAAAATGAACCAATTCGTATATTCTTTTACCGTTTGTGATTTTTGAATAATTTGGTTCATTTTTGTTTGTTACTGAAAACCAGATTTTTTTTTCTAGAAAAATAATTAATATGTGTTTCTTAAACTAAATATCTTTGTTAATTAAAATCAAATTTTGATTTTATTTGTTCCAAGAATATGTAATCTTTTTGAAACTTCAATAATATCTTTCATCTCTTCGAAATTAGAACTACAATGTATATAACCGTGCGTATGCACGGGTCGTAATACTAGTATATATATAAATAAGAGTAAAGTTTTTTTTATTGGACAACTTTAACATCTATATTATTTATTTATATTAATTTTTGTAGTACATAATTGTGAAGCACATCCAAAATTGTAAGACTATTATTTTCCGGTTACATATGTCTAACAATTATCCACATACTAAACTAAAATATATACATCAATACACAATAGATTAAATACAATAACCCGCATGTTGCAGGGCCATTACCTAGTGAAAATCTAAACATTTGGAAATTAATACAAGTTAGGATCAAATATATTTGATCAATTGGTAAGCGAATCTATATATATAAAGTTAGCATCCACATAAACCACATTTTTTCAACATTAAAATAAATTTAAAACATACATTTAGTGCATATTTATGTTACTTATTTAATTAATAGAAAATCTATATAAATAAAAATAAATTATGTAAATAAATGAAATGTTAAATAAGAAATACTTTCATTTTATATTAGTTAGTGGTAATAATATAATTCAATTTTAAGAATGTAAGTAAATTTTCAATTTATGGTAGAATAAAAACAACATTTATGTAATTGTACATATAAAATCTTAAAGGGGAAAAATAAAATTGAAAGTGAAATATTAGTTTATAACATGATGGAAAAGAAAATGATTTTAATCTAAATTTAAATATTGAAAGATAATAATTCAAGAGAAAATAACTATAATATGTTTTGAAAATCAATTAAAAATAAATAAAATATCACAATATGAATAAAAAATTGAAAAAATATATATAAACCTCCCGCGCGCAGCGCGGGTCAACTGCTAGTCAAAAATATTTTGAGCTTTATAGGAATCTTTTGTGTATATTTGAGCATTAAGTTTATATTACTTGTAGTGGTAATTAATATCCATGTTAATCATCTAGTAAAATATGCAAAACACGTATACTTTTTATTCGTAACATAACAACATATGGAATTTTAACGTTAAACAAAGAAAAATAGCTTCTGGCGCCAAAATTGTTAGACTTCAAACGTAAGTTGAGAGAGGGATGCGTTTTTTTATTAAAGGAAAAAGACACCGATGGCTTTACTAAAGAATTCAAAGGGATTGAAATGGACCCATTGACTAAACCTCCTCTTTCTTTTACACTTAATCTCTCTTCTTTTTTGATCCGAATATAATATGAGTCTCGAGTCTCGACAGCCCAACACCTTTTCTTTTTGGGTATCACAACTCAAAATGTTCCACTGACAATGGATCTCTGCTTCTTCCATGATTTTTATGTATGATAAATTTGGTTTTGTTGTCACTTGAAGTTAACTTTAGTAAATGTTCATCACCAAAGAACAAAACTACAAAAGAAATTAACACAAATATATAGCATGTCTCCACAACAGAAAGAAAAACAAAGTTTTAAAAAGAACTGGAGGCTGAATTAAAAATAGTGAAAAGCAAAGAAGATTCCACCGTATTTTCCTTTGATGATGCACGCGACTTTTTGAGTTCACTAGCTTATATAGGGGAAGCTCTTGCTAATTGCTATCTCACCGTCACCGACCTTTATGATTAGGCAAGAATAGGAGAACACAAGCCAAGCATGGGGAACTGTTTATTCGGAGGGTTAGGCGACGAGGAAGACTTATTGATCAAAGTCATAAAATCAGACGGTGGAGTTCTTGAGTTCTACTCCCCCGTCACCGCGGGCTCCGTCTCCCACGAATTCTCAGACCATGCTCTTTTCTCGTCCCTTGACCTCCTCTGGGAACCTCTGCCTAACCACCACCTCCTTGTCCCCGGTCAGTCCTACTATCTTTTTCCGAATATTGTCTCCGACGAGTTGAAGACTTTTGCGGGCAGCTGCCACGTGAGATCCAACAGCGAGTCCTTCTCAGCGATGACTCCTTACAGAATGTCTCTAGATTATAACCACAGGGTGTTGAAGAGATCATACACGGACGTCTTTTCAAGAAACAACTACACAAGGACCCGACAGAAGGAGAAGAGGCCGACGAGGCGGAGGCGTACGAGCAGCAAAGGTGGAATATGGAAAGTGAGGCTGGTCATAAACACTGAAGAGCTGTTACAGATCCTGTCTGAAGATGGTAGAACAAATGAGCTAATAGAGAGCGTGAGAGCTAGCCGTGGCCAAGGGTGAAAAGTAAAAACGGCGTCGAGCATCACAAGCGGTTCGTCTGAGAATGTCTTGTCGGTGGTACATACCTAGATTTTAATTAATTCACTATACAGTATTTACATGTGTGGTAAACGATATATCTAAGGAAGCTTGCTCCAGTCGATTGCGTCATTTAGTAACTATGTACGTAGCTTCTTCTTTTTTACTCCAAATTAAAGACTCCATTTATTAAATTAAATACACAGTGAGAAAATAATTGTTCCAAGTTAACTAAGATACTCGAAAACAATTACATTCTAATTGACAAGTTGAAATAATATGTGCCAGTGGTCTAACAAAAAGAGCATGAATTTCAGGTAATATAATAACGAGAAAGACAATTTGTATGAATTTGAGAATTTTAAAAAGGAAATATCAAACTAGACACAATGGTTTAGAGTTTGTCGATATTATTGATTAATCAAGCCTCATAGGCAAGGTATTTATAAGATAAGGATATAAAACTATTATGATATATACAAACATATATTTACGTACTAGCTATTGTGTCGAGATAGTCTTTCTCCTATTTAAAAAAATGTCTTAAGTATTTGTATATCTCAATTTGATTTAGTAGGTGTATCTCCTAATTTCTCAAATTCTACTAAGTCTTTCTCAGTTCTCACCCTTGAACTCAGGCAAATTAGATTATCTTTTGAATTTCAAGGTTGTCTCTTAGCGTTAAGAGTTACACCAGCAAAAGAAGTAAGCTTAAGGTAAAGAAAACTCTTTAAATTGTTTTGTTCCTCGTTTGAGCAATCTTGAGGCAGACGCTCTATCTAAAACTGCTCTTATAGCAGCAAAAAACTCTCGCCCCATGGTTGTGTAACTCTCCTTTATTAATATAATTTTCAGTTGGTAAAAAAAAAATTGTTTTGATCTTGTAGGAAAGGACTCAACATAACAAATTCGGATATTGTGGTCATCATATTGCTCCAGTCCATCTTTGACAGACATCAATATTTATGATATGTGTATACCAAATATCATGTGAAGAGATTAGCCATCAAATATTCAAACACCACACGATTACACTGACTTTAATGAACGTTTGTATTTTTTTTAAAGGATTTTTAAGATCGAACGTTTGTAGTTGTGAAACACAAACATGTAGATTTCAAAATAACAAAGTTCAACCTCGTATTTTCAATGTGAAACCAAATCCCTTCAAAATTTCATGCAAATTAAGTCCACTTCGAGTCAGAAATGGAAATATAAGAAAATATTATCTAAGGGAAAAACAAATTAAGAAAAGCTTATTAGCTAGCTAGCGCATGTTTAGTCCTTGGATGTGAAATATTGAGATTAAGCGAGATCAAAAGAGAAAGAAAAAAAGAAAGAAAGAAGAAGCTTACAGTATCAATCAGGGAGAGGAGAGGAGAGAAGAGGAGTACATCTAGGGGTGGTCTTTTGTCTGAGCAGAATTTTGAGCTGAACCTTTTGGCACTCCAGCTTCGAACCCCATTTCTCACTCTTTGATCGTATAGCTCTAATCACTCTTGGGAACGGATTGATACCTCTCCTCATAATGTGAGGATTCTCCCACCTCCTCCTCGCGGGTGAGCTACACGCCCTCTTCAGTATCTTAGGCTTCATCTCCCTCTCTCCTTGTCTATTAGCTTCCTCTAACTCAGTTAGCTTCTCCTCCAAGAAAAGCCTTGCATCCGCCAGCTTCATCTGAACCCTCTCTTCTCTCAAAACCTCCGCCAACCTGTGCATCTGTCTCTCTTCTTCAAGATCTCGTTTCATCCGAACCATCTCTGACTTGTCAAACGATATCTCTTTTAAGAGCTGCTTGTTTTGCAACTCCTCCGCTTCTCTACCCATTCTCTCCTCCTCCACATCTTTAGCCAGCCTCTTGTTTGTCAACTCTGCCCGTCTTCGAGCTTTTCTCTCGTAGTCCAGCTCTGCCTTCAGTTCCTTGATCTCGGCCCGAGCTTTGCCTAGTTCAGATTCCATGAAGACCTTTATGAAATTCAGATCCCATATAAATGCCTTGCGTTGGTGTTGGTTCTGTTGAGATTGTGAAGAGCAGTAGTAAGGATTATCATAACGCTTCCAGGTCTTGCAGACTGAGTCCATGTCATCATCTGGAGAGGGGATTCTGGCCATCATCGTCTCAGGACTGCAGCTCTGCATCTTCATAGCCTTCTCCTTTTCTAGCTTCAGCTGTTTATTATTATAAACAAACAAATAAAAAGAAAACAAATTTATTATTTATCCCTTTAGAAGATGGAAGTGTGTTGTAAAGCTGAAAGAGTGAGTCATCACATGTTTGTCATCAGCTTCAATCATTCTCCTCTCCAGGTCTCTGTCTCTGGACCTCAAAAGGCTTGCTGCTATCGTTAGAGAGAGTGAGAAAAGTAGCAGAACAAATGAAACTAACAAATGCGCAGTTAAAACATGAAACTAACCTCTCTTCACGACTGTTTGTTGGGAAATATCTTGGCCAACCACTTCCCTGTGCTTTCAATGAATCGCCTCTCTCAATTTCTGTGGTTTTTGTACACTTTGTTGGGGGGTGTCAATTAAGTGGCCCATTCAAAACATTTATGCCTGCCTCATCTGTTCCAAGTACCTCTCCTAACTATATACTATAGTCTCCCTATCAAATATGGAAGGACTTTTTTTCTATCTAATCATTTATTTACTTTGTATATTCCCTTAAACCAACACTTCCAACCTAGTTACTTGGAGTTGCAGGAAACGAAACCAGAAACAGATTTTTTTTATTATGTGCGAGTCAAACAAAAGTAAGTGGTGTACTCCATCTACATATATGAAAGTAAGTATCCAACAAGAAATATCATTAAAGCTAATTGCTTCTGAGGGTCCAGTACTACTGTTTATAATTCATTCATATATACCACCAAAGCAGACACCAGAATCAACCTCAGCCACTTCATACTGGACCGTTCTCTCTTCCTCGGTTATGCTCAAACTTCAAACAACGCAGTCTTCACCGGCGCTCTTTTTACCATCAGGATATAACTTCATGATGGGTAAGATAGAGCCATCATGCGCTGACAACTCTTGTCAATAGTAATACACAGAGATTAGAGCTCTTTAAACTGTTCTTTTTTTGTATAATTGCACTCAGGCAATTCTCTTCGGTGGTGATCCCGCTGATTTCACAGTCTATAGACAGAAGGACATGTGTGATCAACACACCAAACTTCTTTAACCAAGATTATCCTCTTTCTCCAGAGGATCTTCAATCGACATAAATGACCCTCAATTTCCCAATAAAAGTATTAGATAATCCATATGTTGGCAAGATGGTCATAAAACCAGCAGAACTGATCAAATGCAGGGTTGCTTTAAAGCTAAGCTAATCTCAGTTTTTGGTGTTATACATTACATACAAACTGCAAGTAACACTTGTGATCCAAGCTATAACCAACTTGAAGTTGAAACATAAAACACAAGAGAAGATGAGTAATCTATCAATCGTATACTTACACACCCAACCAGAATAGAAAAAACAGAATACTAAGTCGTCTTCACAACTCTTCACTGTAGACTTTTATATGCATGTGTTTGGATAAGTATGTATATCTCTTGGAAATTGCACTACCCATAAAAGAAGTGGCTGCTGATCCAATCCACTCATGCCTCTAGTTTAGGGCAGATTGGGGAGCTTGGACTGGACATAGAACCTGCAGGAAACATCAGCACCAAGAATCATTTTATGTTTGATACATTCTACATGTATGCAATGAGAGCCTTGTAACACCTACAAATGTCTGCTAGACAAGGTTGTTTGGTGGCTGGATCATCCTCAAAGGCCGGAGGCGCTTGCCCGTATATCATCTCGCAGCTCATGTCTTCAAAATCTATACAACCAAAATGGCTAATGAAAATATATATATGGAGAGTGAGGGAAAGATTGGTCAAAAGGAGATATAAGATAATGTACTTGGGTTCATGGTGAGTGGGAGGCCAAACTCATTGGTGAAGAAATCTTGGGTTGGAATCTTGCACATATTCACACACATTCCTACACAACCACTGTTCTCCAGATACCTTCAAACAAGAGTAGGGGGGAGCAAGTCTGTCAAAATTTGAAAAAAAAAGACGACCTAGTACACATCTCACTTTTTAATTAATTAATGACCTGCATTTCTTTATACGAACTCCACTTCTCTGTTTCACCCCATTCACTTCCACTTCTATGACCTGCCATCAGAAGAAAGGAGTCAAGTAAGTGCAGTAACAATTCTATTCAACTGAGATTGGAGGAGAGGGATATACCTGAGATGGACCAACCAACCAGTGAAAGAAAGGCACCGTAAGAGCCGCATTGAACTCCGCTGCCCATTTGGTTGGTGGGAACAATTTTCTGAACTGTTGAGGAGCACCAGGAGGCAGCATAGAGAGAAGAACCTCCCTCACGGCCTCTTGCTGCTGTAACCTGGACCGTCCCTGCATCACTCTCTTTGACACCTCAACGAAACTCTCGTAATCATATTCCCAGAACCCCTTCTCCTTGGTCTCCTTATTCTTCTTCTTCGACCCGAACTTGTCCATCTTCCTCGCGAACAGACCCATGAACACTCTGGCGGCCAACCCATCGTCGTATCTAGTCTTCTGCCCTACCGGAGCTGGCTCTCCACTCGGCTCGGCAATCCCGCATCGAGTGCCACGTCGCCTAAGTGTGAGATTAACTGCTTGCAGACTAGCAAAAGACGCCATGGATAAGATGATATCTCTCGCCCTCTCTGCTCTTCCTCCCTACCACCACCATCATACTCTGCTTTTACTGCCTTAATGGCCACATAAACGTTACCACATACACACAAGTGTCCACTTTGTTTGCCTCTTATTCAAGGAATATTTAATTAGTCTCACTCTTAGTTTATTCTTTTTAATATAGATATGGACTCTATAGGCCCACATACAATGGCCCATTGCAGTGAGGCCTATCTTCACACAAGATAGATTCAGTATGTTACTATGTTACTTGATTCGGCGGTATTGCAAATAATATTTATGTTTATTAAAAGTTTTCTTACAGCTATTGTAAATATTGTTTTCAAATATTCATCTGATCTTTTTACATACGTATTTTTAGAAAATAAAGCATAATTATTCAGTAGGCAATAATAAATTGTATTTGGCATTTGGGATGTAAGTTAGTATTTTTATGTTTAATTCAACTTTGCCTAAATGTTTATTTTATATTTTATTATTAAGTCTGTGTAAAAGATGTATTCATGAGTCTTAAATTTACAAAATTTGTGAACATGATGTGTCTCATCGGACTAAATGGCGAGCTAAATATTTATCCGGTTTGGCTTCTGGTCAAGTTTTCAAGAACATTGTGCAACTTTAGCAGCAGTTACTATATATATATTAATGTACTTTATTGATAATTAAAATCAGTTAATGTGGTATTTAATACCTTAAGAGTTAAGAAGAATTAAGATGTGTGTGTCGTGTGATTGAAACCGAGTGCCATTATATATATATATAGATTATGGCCAAGTAGATTGGGTTAAATTAGCCAGTAGTACTAGTAGCTAGCTAGGGATAAATAATAATCAATCCTACCATAAGAGAAGAGAGGAGCACTTTTGCAAGTTTTCAAAATATGTAGTAAATGAATAAATCAAATTAAAGACACCCCCCTACCAAACTCCATCTACTTCGCATTTAAGGCTTCTTAGTCTTTTTGACTTTTTTCCATCACGTAAGTTATTTTAATATTAATTGTTATTGAGAGTTACTCAATTTTGTCAGTCCAAAACCCAGTTCTAACGCTACATGTCATGTTGGAATGGAGTGCACTTATAAAGTCGTACGTCAGTCGTCGCTGACCACTGCATTACAATCGTGTTATTGCTTTGTAACTTACAGTTGTAACTAATTCTCTTTCCCTACCATTCAACTTCTTTTTCTGCTCTACCAAAACATAACTCCCCGCCCCCCTTGTTTAGTGGTTGAATTTTGAGCTACTTTTACACTATATTCCCCTCTTGAGTCTTGGCTAATTGCTTTCACTCAAATTACTACGTACCCTTAAGCTTATGAACGACATCAGAAGTCACTTGGCTATTAGTCAACCTTTCATGCATCGATGCATTGTTTAAGTGTTCAAGAGACTTATTGGGAATGACGTTTGTTTACACATGTTAGACTAGTTTGTTTACACATGCTAATGACGTTTTTTTTTTTTTTTGATAAAGCACATGCGAGTATTGAGAAAATAGTGTACAAGGCTTGACATGAGGGACTACATATCTGTCTCCGTCATTAACTTGTGGAATCTGTACTATATCGGGATCTAGTTATAATCAAGCCACTCGTCTGCCTAAGTATTTGATTTGGTAAGAAGGCTTTGACTTTGAGGCTGCTTTTAAATTGTCTAACGCAAGACTTTTGACAACCTCTTAAACATATATATAGCTCATGGTCTCACGTTCCTTAATTATGCACGCACTCGAATTTTCTACTTCATAGGGAGCGGTGTAACATTATATTGGGTAATTAAGGACATGCGATTAGCTTTCTTGAGACTACGCACACGTCCTTCGCATCATGAATTATTATCAATACTATATAGTCTAACTCTTTAATTGTTTTTTTCCAAAAGGTGTATAACATTTTATAGAATTATCTAAAAACAGGTCAGCTAAGCTGTGTAGATGGGCTAGCTGTTGGGCATTCAGAGTGATGGCTATGAGCTGAGTGGCCACATGCCATCATATCACTTGTCCAATCTTCTTATTTCCTTATCAACATTTACAGTTTACATCTCCTTGCCATTACTTCAATTATTTGATGTATTAGTTTCAGTTTCATAGCATATCAGAATCATGTAGATTTAGTTGCCCTCCTTTTAGTTTTAGACCCAAAAAGTCGTCAACCGGCCAAAGCCCTCAAAGCCTCACTAGAAAGGTGAAAATAATAGGGAAAAATGCCATAAAAATCCTGGAGAGTACGATTTCGTTGGTTTAAATCCCGAACTTTCCAACTGTTGATTTAAATCACAAACTTTTTGTTTACTCTCTCTTTAATATGAAACTTTAATTGACTTTGCCAATTTAGGCACATCGTTAAATCGCCAAACGGAGCAATTAAACGGGTTTGAATGTCATTAACGAAATCCGTCAAATACAAAATGAAACTGTTTTTAACATAACCCAAACACTTAATCGATTCAACTTTTTCCCCAAAACACTTAACAGAAAGTTGAATCGATTAAGTGTTTGGGTTATGTTAAAAACGGTTTCATTTCATATTTGACGGATTTCGTTAACGACATCTAACCTTGTTTAATTGCTCCGTTTGGCGTTTTAAAGATGTGCCTAAATTGGCAAAGTCAACTAAAGTTTCATATTAAAGAGAGAGTCAACATAAAGTTTGTGATTTAAATCAACAGTTGGAGAGTTCGGGATTTAAATCAACGAAATCGTACTCTACAGGATTTTTATGGCATTTTTCCCGAAAATAATATGTTAAGCAGACATGAACTTTTAT